TGTTTATCATCAAAATATGGAGTATCAGAGTCATAGCATGAACTTTCAAGTTCTCTATAATATCTTCTACCGTCATTCTTTGCGAATATTTCATTTATCTTTTCGAATGAATGAAACATTTCCATTAATTGGTTTAGTGTTTGGCACCAAATAGTTAGTCGTCATTTATGATGAAATAAAAAAAAATCAAAATTAAAAGATGAAAATGAATTTTTAATTTTAATGAAATAATCAACTATGGCGGCAGGATTCTTTAAAAAGTTATGGGATAAAGTAAAAAGAGGAGCGCATAAAGTTTGGGAAACAATGAAGAAGGAGCAAATTGGATATTTAAGAATAAAGAAGCAATTAGTGACATTGCAGAACAAATAGCACCTAATGTTCCGGTAAGGGAAGTATTAAATAAAGGAGATAAAGTTTATCGTCGACTACAACCGATATTGAGATAAAAATAATATTTATTTTTACTACTTTCCTCCTATTTTATTAAGTATTCCTTCAGCAATTCCACCAACTGCGTTACCTGCTTGTGCTCCCATCGCTGGATTACCTGCTTTAGCACCTAATACTCCACCTATGATAGTTCCTGCCGTTTTCGCTACTGGTGCCAAAAAGTTTGCAATGGGTTTTATTATTTTCTGATGAACCCAACTTGCAGCTTTCTTAATTCCTTCCCATAACTTTTTAAAGAATCCTGCAGCCATTTCTGATTTAATATTAATTAAAAAATATATTTCATCACTTATATTCTAATTTTTATTTAATGATAAATGAAGCCTATTTTAAAAATAAATGAAACAGAGGAGGAAGAAATTAATGAAAGTGAAAATGTTCAAAATAAAATAAACATTGTTAAACCCATTACTGAAACAAAAATTTTTTCATCTGTTGAAGAATTTAATGACTATTATGCTAATAATAAAAAATTATTTGAAGAATTGACAACATGTAAATTGAATAAAATGTTTAAAGTTGATGGATTCAAAATTTCAAAAATAAAAGGTGTTGTTAGTTTAAAATCTATTCCTCAATCAAGAATCACCTCATTAATGAAAATTGATGATTTAACAAAAAGAATAGAAATTATTGAAGAAAGAATAAATCAAATAATTGATTTCATAAATCATGACTCGTTGAGCCCGGGTCCTTAAAGTCCATCACTGAGTTCAAGGTTATATTCATCAAATATTTCATTAATAAATGCAACTTCTGCTAGTTTATTTATTTTTTCAATACGATCATTTGAAAGTCTATTGTTTAATTTTTTCTGAAGTTTTTCATTTTCTAGTTCTGAAACTTTATTTGGATGATATGTAAATTCATGAAATTCTTTGACCTCGGTTTTGATCATTAATTTACAAAGAACTTTTGTGGTTGGAATTCGTTTGAACCATTTATCCTTAATATTTGTTATAAATTCAATATCTGGAATTAATTCCCAAATTTTTGCATTTTCAATTAATTTATTATCAAATGCAAAAGCAATAGGTTTAATATTAAACTTACCTTTATAATATAAACTTTCTACATAATCATCGAAATAAACATCAACTTGTTTAACATTTTCAAGAATTGGTGAAAGAGCATCCATTAATTGATTGACGGTGACGAATCCTGAATATCTAACGTCGTTAGTTTTGACACTCATTTTCTTACGAATTAAAAAATAAATTATTCATAAATGTAAGACATGAATTTTCTCCCCTGTTGTCAAAATGTCATGTTGTCACCATTTTCAAAAGAAGTTAATTAACCCGGTTACCCCCTCAGTTATTCAAAAACGTAAGACATGAATTTTATTATCCACTTTATCAGGTTTTACTTGTTGGGTCATTTATGTAAGAATAAAAAAATAAATTATTTTAAAATTAATGTTAAAATAAATGATACAAAATCATTCAATATTGTATGAATTCTTACGTTTACAAAAAAAGTCACAAAACCCATCATACTCTACTACTAATATTGCGAACAAATTCTGAAGTAAAATCGCGATCAATAATTGAAAATTACGATCATGTACTGAAAAATGACGATCGAATTGAATGAATAGAATTATATCTAAGAAAAAATAAATTGTATTTAGAAGATGAACAAAGAAAGGTGTATGCTAAAAATCATTTAACAATAAATGGAAATAAAACGAAATTGTTAAAAGAAAAAAATGAAAATTGTTAAGGGTGCACACGAGAGGATCATGTAAACTTCAGAATTTAGAACCTTATTTTTAGGCATTATCTTGGCTACCTATTTAGGCTCGAAAAGCAAAAAATATCAAAAAATACAACTTGACTCCATTATGACCCTTTCATGGAGGTAGTTTTTATCCGCTAGTATTTTCCCTTTGAATCTCTTTACAATTCGAAATCAAATTCAAACCTCAGTAGAAGAAAGGAAGAATCGACTTACTACGGTTGTAATACGAATAAATACATATATTTAATTATTTTTATTTACATAATAATTGTTTGAAGCTCATATTCCAACAAATTTTTAAATAAAAATATTAAAATGTTGAAAATGTTCATATATTTTAATAGGGTTTTGGCACTTTATTGAGGAATTACTACATACATAGTCGAACTGAACTTGATATTTTGAAATTTAAATTATTTATCAAAATTAAAATTTAACTTGAAATTTATAATTATTTAGTCATATTTTGCATAATTCTAAGTAGATTTTGTAAAAAATCAAGAAAGAAAAATTTTAACGTGCTTTATTTTTTCTTTTTTATAATAATACATATTATTATATAATTAACATATTCATAATGTTTCACCCTTTCAAAAATATAATCCTCCTCCTCTCAAATAAACGTACATACGGGTGGCCTCTTTTTTCAAAAAATTAAAATTTGAAATTTTGGGCTCAAATATTAGAGATTTTTTCAACCTTCAACGATATCAAAAAAAAAAAAAAAAAAAGGTAGTGGGGCTTCCAGGGGCTGCGCCCCTTCTAGCCCTGAAGTTTTATTTGGAGGGCTTCCAGGCACTTCGTGCCCTCTAGCCCTGAAGATGTTTAGTATAAATGAAGTTCTTATATACGGGTCTTCCAGGAGCTTTTCACAAATTATATATGTTTTCATGTTTTGTCACTTTTCTGTCACTTTTCAGGGAAAAAACATTTTTATTATATATAAAATGAATTTTACAAAACCACCGTTACCGTTCTTTGGAAATAAGAGTAAATGTAAAGATATTCTATTGAGAGAACTTAAGAAACTACCGAATGGTCTAACATTTGTAGATTTGTTCGGTGGAAGTTTCTATATATCCCATTTGTGTCATACAATATTCCCAGACTCAAAGATTATATGCAATGACTTCGACAACTATATGGACCGTCTCAAACATATACCAGACACAAACAATATATTGAAAGAGTTAAAAAAAAAGATACCTATAGGCAAGATGGAACGTATACCATTAGATAAGAAAAATATTGTGAGAGAGGTTTTGAAAAAAGCAGAATATATAGACTGGGATAGTATATCTGCTAGACTATTATATAGTGGTTCTATAAGAGTTCATGACATTGAAACACTTATGTCAAATGTTTTATATCTTAACTATACAAATGTTTTCAAAGAGGACATAGAAAAATATATTGAGGGTATAGAGTTTGTGAGATGTCATTGGACAGAGTTGTATGAAAAATATAAAGACAAGGAAAATGTTTTCTTTATAGTGGACCCGCCGTTCTATAACACATGGGATTTTCAATACCAAGTAGACTGGACTTTGAGAGACTCTTTAGAAACTTTAGACGTTTTACATAACCATCCATGCTTTTACTTTACATCCGATAAAAGTGGTTTGGAAACCGTTATGAGATGGTTAGAGGACATACATGCCTATGAGTTTAGATATGACAAGATAGAATATGAGAGAGTCCTATAAACCGGAGAAAGTGTCATAACAAAGAAATTTTACTAGTAAGTAAATGTGGTTTGAAATAGGACTACTTGTTTTAGGTTTTTTCCATTGTGTCATTTATTTATTTGACGTGGCAGAAAGGTACAGAGAATATGAAGATGAACCAATGTCTGCAAATGTTCAGTATATGTACTCGTAAGAGATATTTTTATCTAATATTAAATGGACGCACAGAACTTAGCAAATGCACAGCAACCTGGACAACCAAACCCAGAGAATATTCCAAATGAAGTTAGAATACAAACTGCAATGGCAAACTATGGTCAAGTGCCAACAGATGTACAAATGCAAACTGCCATGTCAAATGACGCTGCGTTAGGTTTGCCACCATGGTATGCAAATATGAGATGGAAAGAGTTTTATACAAACCCTGAAGTGGGATATAAACAACTTTATGCAGATGACGCGAACACAGGAGTTGACCCAGAATATGTTTTCTACCAGAGGAGAAACAGAATGTATGAGCTCCAGTTAAAAAATGCTATGGAACTCAGAAGGAAACGTAAGAGACTAGGCGGACATTAGATTTTTACACGTAGTAAATGGGTTTCTTCAGTAGTATTGGAAACTTCTTTCGAAATGTTGGAAGAGGTATATGGAATGGAATAAAAACCGTAGGAAGAGGAATTTGGAACGGAGTCAAAAATATTGGTAAAAGAGTAGGTCAGTTTGTTGGTATTATACCTAAAGACCCTGAACCAGAAGAACAAGCTCCTGTTATACAACAGCCTGAACCTGCACCACAGTCAAGTTGGCAACCAAATCCAACACCTCGACCGTATTAAAAATTATATTTTTACCGTTCGATAGTAGTTGTATATGAAACTAGTTCTAAGTAAAAACGCATGGTATAATGGAATTATTCTCTTTCTTCCATCTGTTGTAAACCATACTTGAAAGTCTGAAATACTTCCACTTGGTGGTTCATATAGCTTTGTAGGTTTTTCGTAAAAGTCATTTGCCAAGCATAAAAAAGAGTTTTGGGCGCCAGAAAATGAAGCATGAACTATAATAGCATCTGAGTCGAAAACATTTTCATATGTTCCATTAGGGTTTTCGACTTCATAAAAGTCCGGGTGTACTGGATATGCTGCAGGCTGATTTAACATCCTCAGAAATCTATACCATGCCAAGTTGTTATATTTTGTAGAAATATAAACGTTTTCTCCAAGGTCTTCTATTCTATTGATTTTAACAGTTGCATTTTTCCTGTCATATATAATATCGAGATGGTACTCTCCTTCGTCAATGTTGTACTGTTTTGCATATTCGAGATAGATATCGTTTATTTTTTCTTGAAAAGCTTGAAGAGTTGTTTCTAAGTTTACAAGCAAATTCACTTGTAAAAGTTTTCCCTGTTCAAATTTCTCATACATACGTTTTTCTTTGTTATAGTATCGAACTTCAAAACCGACTGTAAATGGGAAACCATGTATGGCTTCTGAAATGAACTTCATTCTACGAAAGCCAATAGCTTTTGTGACGGATGGGTCTCTTAACCATCTTAACGGGTAGTCAAAACGATAGCCTTCATGCTTTACGGTCTCTGTCTCAAACTTTTGACCTACATTGGTAAAAAGTTCATCTAATGGTTTAGTTGTAGCAACTCTTGAATTTTCTTTTTCTATTGAAAGCATATTTTATCTAGAATAAAAATGTCAAATGAAACAGCGTCTATGAGAGAAATACAACACAACCGACAACTCATTATGCAAGCTCTAAATAAGAACACAACAAACTTTTCAAACTATTCTAAGATATCTGAGTCATTGAAAGAAGGAAACTTAAAACTGACAATAAACCCAATGACAGATGAGTTTCTGTTTCAAGACAATAAGAACCATACTGTCTGTATAAATCCAACAAAAGGAACTTTAAACGAGAAACCTATAAATGAACTTCTTTTGAAAGCAGATGTTGACAGCAAAGCTGACAAAGAATATGTAGACGATGCAATAGCAAAAGAAGAAGAAAGAGCTAACAAAGCTTATGCAACAAAAGAACATACTCATCCTGAACTAGCAGACAAAACATATGTTGACAATAAAATGTCAAGTGAAGTGACAAGAGCTGAAAACGAATATTCTAAAAAGACTCATACACATTCTATATCTGAAATAACAGACTTACAAGAAACATTAGAGACAAAAGCAGATAAGGGATGGGTGGCTAGTGTGTTAGTGAAGAAGGCGGATAAGGAATATGTGGATGAAAAAGATAACGAAATGAAAGAAAGGGTTGAATGGTACCATGAACGGACATCGAAGATTTTAAAAGGTAAAGCCAATACAGGATGGGTTTCAGGATGTTTAGACCTTAAAGCAGATAAAACTTATGTTAACGATGAGTTAGAGAAGAAAGCAAATAAGACTCATACACATACAAGTTTTACAACTGTTGCTATAGAAAGTATTGAAGGAACGGTTGAAGAAACTGGTGGGGATGCATTATATTGTAAACCTCCTAACTTTCCACAAGGTTTAACATCGGATGACGACATAACGACGATGAAAAACATTAGATGTAAAGATGTTTATGTCATGAAGGATGAAAATAACGTTAAATTCACTGCTCAAGATTTATATGACAAGAAAGCAGACAAAACAGAGCTTCAAACATTAAAGACAGAAATATTTCAAACATTATATCCTATAGGCTCTATTTATACGTCAATGAACTCTACCAGACCAGAAGTAGTACTTGGTTTTGGAACTTGGACTCAAATAGTCGACAGGTTTTTGTATTGTGCAAACTCTTCAAAGGAAACAGGCGGAAGTAAAACGATTTCAGGTGCAAATTTACCTGCGCACAGTCACTACGTAAGTTTAACTACATCTCGAGAAGGTGGGCATAGGCATAAATATTGGGATTGGACAGGAATGACAAAAGGTAAAGGATATGATGTTAAAGACAACGTTCAGTTTGCTATAAATTGTTACTTGGATAACACTGAGGTAGGAGGAGACCATACACATTTCGTTTCAGGGTATACGAAAACAACGGGACAAAGTAAAGACTACATGCCACCTTACATGACAGTTTACGCATGGTATAGAATTGCTTAGTCGTCATTTTCAACTTCTTTAGCATATTCGTCAGGAGTTGTCTTATATTTGTTAGGAACTGTCTTTGAAAGTATACCACCTTGAACTTTGACAAGTTTGAAACGAGGTCTGACAATAGTAGTTTTATCTTCTGCTTGCAGTCTGTACATTTTGCCATGTTTGCCTAAAACTTCATAATATTCTCTTGTATACTTTCTTCTATTTTTACGAACACGAATGTGAGTACCTGTCGGGTTCCCATTGTTGTCATAGTCAATAGTATTTTCATATGGGTCGCGTTTAGGTATTTCTATTTTTACTTTGTCGCCTTTCTTAAGTTTGAAGCCCGGCATTCTTTCTTGTTTGTCTCTTTTGACTAAATTATTAAATATATAGTCTTTCTCTAAGTCAGGGTTGTTTTTCATTTCTTCGGGGGAGTGGTTTCACCAAACCTTTTTGTTTAGTTATTGTAAATATTTAAAACTTGTCTCATCTTTGCCATGGAGAAGTGTCTAATAGTCGTCATATGACATTTCATTTGCTTCACCACTTGTGGTTGGTTTAAGTCTCTTAACATTTTTATACAACCGTCAATGACACCAAGAGCAGAATGGTTTTGGTCGACAATGAAATATTGGTTTACATTTTTTGAACGCAGATAGTTTTTTACATCGTCTGATTTGAAAGAACTTTCACAGTCAGATGTCAGTTTTGTTGGATGGTATTTGTCAACGAATATTGTCAAAGCAGTTTTCACATCTAAAATATTTTTGGACCATAATGGTATGGCTTCACAGTATCTTGTGTTTTGACCAACAAATATTAACCAGTATGGAGGTCCATCTGTTCTAACTCTCGGAATGTTTTCCAAGATATCCATAAACCAAGCATTTGGTGTTGAACTAAAGATTTTTACCAAGTGCTTTCTTTGTCGCTTTAGAACATAGGGGTCCTTGTTTGATTCGTCATTTTTTAACCCATAAGAAATGGGTTTATTGGCGCGTTAGCAGGAGTTGCATCTAGATTTTTGCCCGCAGTGGGAACAATAGCCAGAGGTGTATTTGGAGTTGGAAGGAAGATTTTGAGTACATTAGGTATACTTAAAGAGAAAGCAACACCTATTATACAAACTGTACAGAAAGGTTGGGATGTAGCACGAGATGCAACAAATCTTATTCCAAATCCTGAAACAAGAGGAAAAAGTTCAAGGATGGATGGACAATGTAGGAAGACAAGCAGGAAACTATTATAACAAAGCAAATGACTACTATAACCAAGCAGGACACTATATGGACCAAGGTGAAAGATTCTTTAACAGAGGATATAACCATGCACAACAATGGGTAAACAATAACCAACCGCAACCACCTCAAACGTGGGGAATGTAAATTTTTTTACTGAGATGAAATGAACAATACAGCTTTAAGACAAATGGGTTCAAGATGGATTTGTCGGCTTCCAGCAGTTACACAACGTGTTTGTCAAGTTCTTCCTATACCTCAGGAAGTTTTAGACCGACTTAAAAAACAACAACAACCAGTTGAAAACAAACCAAACTAAAATTTTTTACTGAGATGAAATGACCGAAGAAGTTGAAACGGTAGATTTGACACCACAAACAAAAAGTTCAGAACCATTGTCAAAACCTGTCAAAGAACTTACAGATGAAGAGAAAAATTCAATAATAGAAAGTGCCAGGTCTGGAAATACAAACCCTAACTACAAAGTCACTTTTCATAGAAATGGAACGGCTAGTATCTCAAAAAAGAAACAGACTCTCACAAATAAAATATTGAAGTCTGAAGGAGCTTTCGAGACAACAGATGGAAAAGTTTACTTCACTGACCAACAGTTCATTATAGAACATCTCATTGACTTAGAGTCAAAATATTCTAAACTTTACAACAAACACAAAAAGTTGAAAGGAAAACAACAACAAATGGCATATGATATTTATGAAGATGTTGACGACACAACTAGACCTGCAAGTGAGGTAAAGTCAGCCGAACCGAAAAGTGACGAAAAACCGATAGAAGAAGAGAAACCAAAAACTGAAGATAAACCAAAACCAAAGTTTAGTTTGGAAACTAAACCAAGTCAACCTTCATTAGCTGGTATGGGTTGGCGTCAAAGACTTATGGCTTCAGGTGGTTATGTAAAGTAAAGAGAAAAAAATATTTTTTTATTTTTATAAAAAATGCCCCCATATAGAATGGATAGAAAGTCTGCTAGAATAAAAGCAGAGTTGCAAAGATATGGTTGGAGAGTTTCGAAGAATTTTAAATATAGGAAGGGAAGACCCATAAAAGTCTATGACAAATTGTCTGGTCTTCGCTATGAAATGGATTTGGAAACAGCGCGTGCAAATTATCCAAACAGACTAGAGAGGTTAGAAGAAGAACGTCTTATGGACATGCCTTTCGATGCTAGTGAACCTCGAGTTGAAGGACACGACGGCTTTGCCAGATTCTACTGGAAACATGACAAACAATTGCATCCTTTGAGAAGGAAAAAAGGTAGTGCAGAGGATGGTCATGCTCCCATGGAAAGAACAAGATATGCATATGAGAAGTACCGTGAAGTTAGAAGCCAAATTACATCTGGTAGAACCTTTACAGTAAACTTTGACAAAGGAAAGAACAAAGAAGGCTTCATGGGTGTACTTGCTGCCATACAAGACGGAAATAAGAAAGGACACAATCTCAGATTGACGATAACAGATTTGGATAGTCACATTTACTATGCACATGGCAATGTCACAACAGCTGCAATGCTTCTTGACGCTTTCAAGACTACAAAGAGAGAACAAATGGTTGACTCCGACTCAGACATTTTGAATGCAATTGAAGGAATTGCAAGTGTCAAGTTCGAATGGTACAAAACTAACCCTCAAGCAGTCAGACAACATGTTTGTTAGATGAGAAATATGAAATGGCATACCATTTTAAAACCATATATTTTTACATATATTAAATGCTTCAGGTTGAAAAACAAAGAACAAAAGTAGTAGATACAAAATCGTTAGACTATATCTTTACAAATGCTGGTAGGACTATTTCAGATGAAGAAATTTCATCCCGAGCATACAGGTTTGACTATCCAATTCGTTGGCTTCAAAGTCCTTCAGATGCAAAGGCAATAGGATTTAGAAGAGTTTTGTTTTCAAATAGAACTAACGCATTTATGTTCGCAGTATATTTTCATGGGCAGTATAAAGGTTCTGATGGTCTAATAGAAAAATTTGACGAAATGAGAATCTTTACAGTTCGTTCAGACGAAAGTCTTGAGAAAACTCTAAATGACTTTCAAACTCAAATAAACAAATATTATTGGGAATTTCAAGAAAAATACGACTCTTTACTAAATGGAACATACTATCTGAAACTAGAATATGACAAGATGAACTCCACCGTTTCATTTCAAAAGATTGAAATTAACCCTCCAAGAGATACAGAGTTTTTATTTTGGCAAGTAGACAAACGTTCTTGGGCACAATTTCTTCGGTTACTAAACCAGAACGAACCATTACCACCAGATGGTCCATTTAAATTTATACTTCCACCAGCAGATTTGACAGTTTATAGAAACGTGTTCGACCCTCAAAATGTTATGTGTCATGCAAGTTTCAGTTCAAGCAACAATGGTTTTCTATGTATCGGTAAGGACTTTTATGACTTTGCTTCTAAATTCTACGAACCACCTAGTAACAGTTTCTCTGACTTTCAAGTTTGGTTCACAACAAATGGTGTGCAACATATAATACCATTGTACTATGACTTTTATCTCGAATTGTCTTTCATATACAACTACGGAAAAGTGCTGAAAAAGTATTGAAAAATAAAGTTTAGGTGAAGAGGTGCGATCTCACCTCCTTTTTCACCTGTTTTTTCACCCGTTGAATTTTCATGAATTTCCTTAAGATAGAAAAAAAGTGAGTTAAAATGAGATGTTTACTGAAGGGGTCACCATGTCACCGGGTAACCATGTGTCACCAGGTAAACTAACTTCTTTTAAAAAATGAGACAACATGACATTTTGACAACAGTCCAGGAAATAAACTTCATCGTACATGTTTTGTCATGATTTCTTCTTCGTACATGTTTTGTCATGACTTCTTCATCGTATTCTTTCACCCGTTGAATTTTGTATAAAAAGCAACCCGCGGAATTCCGGCGGTTGGTATATTCTTCACAAAATGCTTGTTTTGAGGTCGAGCCATTTTTGGCTCCACCGTATTTTTCAACCAAAACTCATTTTTTTCGGCAAAAATATATTTTAGGTTAGATGGTGAGATCTCAGAACTAGTCTTGTACTGTTTCAAGACAATGTCCGACGGTTAAGCCACAAACGAATGTCCGACGTACCACCCAAAAATATTTTTTATTTTTATTGTAAGAACTGAAATGACAGTCGAAGCAAAAACGTTCACGAACAAATCTAATGGCGAAACATTCACAAAAGGCACTTACAACGGTATTGAAGTCTTACGTAGAGACAAGGATGGTTATATAAATGTAACAAATATGTGTCAGCAGTTTGGGAAAGACTTTAGAAGGTTGTTGGAAAATAAGTCCTGGGAAGAGTATTTTAAGGCATTTTGTGAAGAATATACCAACCCGCGGAATTCCGCGGGTTGCTTTTTATACAAAATTCATGCAGGAATTCCGGATGAAATCAAACAGGTTAGAGGAACGTATGTAGACCCAAGACTTGTAAACTATATAGCAATGTGGGCTTCTCCAAAATATTGCATAGCAGTTGGAAAAATTATGGACTCCATAGACAAGAAAGTTCATGAGAAATTAGATGAAGAAGAACTTGAAGATACAGTAGAGAATGCTAAACCTTTGTTCGAACAAGAAGTTGGAAAAATGTGCGAAAAACAAATAGAACATGAACATGAGATGTGTTATGGTTATAGAGATTCTCCATACGAACTAGACCAATGGGAACAAGAAGATTTAAAGAGAGAATTTAGAGAATATGAACTCGCTAAAATTTCATTAGAAGCTGCAGAAGAGAGGTTAAAAGTTTGGGGTCGTTTTGTACAAAAATATTGTGAGTAAATGAACCATTTCTTTTTATTGAATTCAATAAAAATATATTTTAGGGTAGATGGTTTTTAGGTGTCACCAGGTCCCTCGGTCCCTCGGTCCCTCGGTCATTTTAACTTCTCTGAAAAAATGAGACAACATGACATTTAGACAACAACACAGGAAATAAACTTCATCGTACATGTTTTGTCAAGACTTCTTCTTCGTAAATGTTTTGTCACCCGTTGAATTTTGTATAAAAAGCAACCCGCGGAATTCCGGCGGTTGGTATATTCTTCACAAAATGCTTGTTTTGAGGTCGAGCCACTTTTGGTTCCACCGTATTTTTCAACCAAAATTCTTGAGTTTTGTTCTGAATTCAATAAAAATAAAGTTTAGGTGAAGAGGTGCGATCTCACCTCCTTTTTCACCTGTTTTTTCACCTCTTGAATTTTCATGAATTTTCCCGAAATAAAAAATAAAGTTAGTTTTTTAAAAAAAATATTTTTTATTTTTATTGTAAGAACATGTTAGCAACAACAGCACCAAACTCGTTAGTCATGAACCCAACTTCAATGTTAGTAGAGATGAAAAGCTTCATTCCTTCTTCATATACTTTCGAAACAGAAATCCAGAAGATAAAGCAAGAACTTCTCCAAGGAGATTTAGATTGCACTGCGAAAGATGAAACAAATGAAGAATATCTTTATGACATGCAGGACCTCATCGACCATCTACCTAAACTTCCTGAAATTCAGCAGCAAAAACTCACTATTCCTGAATTCGATGAAATAGAAGTCAAAGCAACTGACTCAGTAGAAATAAAGAAGTTCATACGAAAGGTAAACTATGAGTTTCTTGGATTTCATTGCAACCACAAAGTCATGGACAAAGATTGCGATATGGTATATAAAAATATTTCTGACATATATAAATCGGAGGAGTTTAAGACCTACGACAACTTTGTTTCGTTAGTTGCTGAATGTGTATGGCAGATAAGAGATAAAGATAAAAGATGTAAAATATGGAATGAACAAATAAAACCCGCAACTTTTGAGTTAAAGAAAACCATTGACGCTATAGTTGTACTTGCAGGTCAAATTTCAATGTACAATGCTAAAATGAACCCACAATGTTCTAAATGTAAAGCAGCAATGAGGAAATATAACTACTCCGTCAAAGAGATAGAACGTATGCGAAACGACTATGCTGACTTAAAGAAAGAAGCAGAGAAACCAGCAGAAAATAAAATGGACATGTTGACATTTCTAAACAAAAACTATCCAACAGCTGACGATTTCCTTCTTTCAGATGTCAAGAAGAAATATAAAGAAACTTTCGGCATTGTGAAAACTTTTGACATACTGACAGAAGAAATAGAAGCTACGAAATTGTTTAGAATTTCAAATATACATCGTACAATTCATGTAAAACGCTTATAAAAAAAAGAGGTGAAAAAACAGGTGAAAAAACAGGTGAGATCGCACCTCTTCACCTAAAATATATTTTTGCTGAAAAAATGACCAAATTTCATGATATAACTGTTATTTTTGACGAAGAGAACTTTAACACTTCGTAAAAAAAATCCCTGAAATCATATCTTTTATACAAAATTCAAGAGGTGAGAAAACAGGTGAAAAAAGAGGTGAGATCGCACCTCTTCACCTAAAATATATTTTTGTCTGATTTACGCTCATTGACGAAGAAGAAGTCATGACAAAACATGTACGAAGAAATCATGAAAATTCACGAGGGTAGAAAACAGGTTAGAAAACAGGTTAGATCTAACCTTCTACCCTAAAATATATTTTTGTCTGATTTACACTCATTTCGATGAAATCATGACAAAACATATACGCTCATTACGATGAAGAAGTCTTGACAAAACATATACGATGAAATCATGAAAATTCACGAGGGTAGAAAACAGGTTAGAAAACAGGTTAGATCTAACCTTCTACCCTAAAATATATTTTTGCTGAAAAATGACCAAATTTCATGAGTTTCCTTAAGATAGAAAAAATAACGTTAGTTTTATTTTTTTTTATTTTTTTATTTTGTATGTAAGAAACAGAAAATGTTAAACATTGAGTTTGAAACAGTTAGAAAGATAGACAATAACACCAAAGTGGTTAGAATAGGTGATTTAAACGTAAGATACTCAAAGAAATACAAGAAATATTCTTTGTCAGACATTATATCTCCATCTGGAAAGAGACCGCAGGACTGGGTTAGAATTGCTTCTACTCAGAAAATTTTGACAAGAAATCCTGAGCTTATGATATCAGTAGCATTCTATGGAACAAGAGCATATCTCATCGACAAAAGTCTTATACCAGTAGTTTTGTTCTGGATTGACCCAGTTGTTGGATATAACTTCATAACTTATGGTTCATTCGATACGGAACGTTGCAGTGAAGGCTTACTTTACATCGTTCAGAAACCAAAGGACTTCAATACAAAGAGATATAAGATAGGAAGAACATATAATATAACTAAAAGATATGACAGTATAGTCAATAGAGTTAAGGTTGTGTTTGTTAACGATATGAGAGCTGCTGAAACAGAACTACTTGAAAAGTTTGAGAAAATGTATGGTGCTCCCATAAAAGGTAAAGAAACGTTTGAAGTAGATGAGATAGAGAAAGCTATAAAATTATTTGACGAAGTTGCTGAAAAATACATGTAAAGCGTTTATTTTTGGTCTTTTGTGAAAGTAAGAAAATAACGCTAATTTTTTATAAAATATTTTTTTTTTATTTTGTATGTAAAGACAGATATGACAACAACCGAGAACACAACAACTGCTATCGTTCATGAAGCCATAAATGAAGAATACGAGTACATACAATATAACAAACAACTCCGTCTCATTCGTTCGGTCAAGGATGACATGTACCAAATGCAAAGTATTTTGACAGCATGTTTTGCTCCAGATACTAAGAAACCACAAGATTGGTTTGAATTAAATAGCACTCAAGAACTTTTGAGTGAGTTCGAACATGTAGAACTTAAAAAGATGTACCAAGACAGACAAAACTTACCATCATATCTAAAAGGTATATATGTTCATAAGTTCCTAGTTAGTTCAATAGCAATGTGGGCTTCTCCTCGTTATGCATGGTATATTTACAGACTTCTTGACGAAGTTGCTGAAAAATACATGTAAAGCGTTTATTTTTGGTCTTTTGTGAAAGTAAGAAAATAACGCTAATTTTTTATAAAATATTTTTTTTATTTTGTATGTAAAGACAGATATGACAACAACCGAGAACACAACAACTGCTATCGTTCATGAAGCCATAAATGAAGAATATGAGTACATACAATATAACAAACAGTTACGTCTCATTCGTTCGGTCAAAGACGATATGTACCAAATGCAAAGTATTTTGACAGCTCTTCGTTCTACAAAGCAAGCATATCATTGGTTTGAAAACCAACAGACAAAAGAACTTTTAGAAGAATTTCCTCATATGTTTGCGTTCCTCGGAAAACCGAGGAACGAGATTCCGTACGAAAATCGTAAAAATTTGCCAAATAGTTTGAAAGGATATTATGTTCATAGACTTTTAGTAAATGCTGTAGCAATGTGGGCTTCACCTCGTTACGCTTGTTATATTTTCATGATGTTAGATGAAATTCATAGACAAGAACGTGAAGAGATGGAAAAGAAACTTCAAGCAAAAGATGAAGTCATTGAAGCAAAAGACAAAAACATACAGAAAAGAATACCACGTTCGGTACCAAAAGGAAAGGAAAAGAACTATAAGTATATGATTTATACTGAAGAGATGGAAAATGAAGAAGACAGAGATATGGTTATGTTGCATTTAGTCAGAAGAAACAACAAAAGCTTTTACGACCTTGCTAAGATTTACAAATCTGACAGAAATTGGTTCTATCGCGAAAACTTACCGATTTCAATGACACCAAATGAAGATGTGAAACAAATAGTTCAAGATACTTTACCTCAAACACACTATGATATGAAAGGTTGTACAATACTTACATTCAAAGAAGATTTGCCGCTACTGAAAGAAAAAATAACAGAGTATTTTGACAACTTCAAACAAGCAGAGTAAATGAACCATTTATTTTTCAAGCTTGACACCAAAGATGGCTCAGGTAGCTCTAGATGGTAAATTGGCTTGTCAAATCCTTCTGGCATTCCGAGTCCTTCCTTCCGACAGGAAAAGTCCTTCCTTCCGACAGGAAAAGTCCTTCCTTCCGACAGGAAAAGTCCTTCCTTCCGACAGGAAAAGTCCTTCCTTCCGACAGGAAAAGTCCTTCCTTCCGACAGGAAAAGTTTTTCTTTCCAACAGGAAAAATTTTTCTTTCCAACAGGAAAAATTTTTCTTTCCGACAGGAAAAAAATTTCCAGTTGTCCGTCCGTAAACCATTCAAATTTTCGAAAATTGAGAACTTTTTGGCCGACCTTCAGAAAAAGTTTTTCCTTCCAACAGGAAAAAATTTTCTTTCCAACAGGAAAAAATTTTCTTTCCGACAGGAAAAGTTTTTCTTTCCGACAGGAAAAGTCCTTCCTTCCAACAGGAAAAGTCCTTCCTTCCAACAGGAAAAGTCCTTCCTTCCGACAGGACACAAACGGATGAGTGACGTACCACCAACCGAGTCCATTCCAAAGCCAGAAGAACCGACAGCCCCAGCACCACAACAGACTTACTAAGACTAAACACTTACATTTTTTACGCTTGACTTTTTACAATTTGAACTTTGTTTGCGTAGATATGAATTCTGAAAGAAGTATGAGGGTCTTGTATGACTTTGTACTTCTCCCATAGTTCATGTCTGTCAAACTTACCTGCCATGGACTCTTTCATAAGTTCCATGAAATCGTCTTCGGACAATCCGGGGAAAAGTACAATGTCAGTAAGTATTCTCTTTACATCCTTACTTAAACTCTTGGCTGTCTGTACACAAATGACAACTGAGATGTTGAAGTGTCTGAGCTTCTTAAGAATTCGACACATATCTTGTTCTCTGTTCTTTAACAAAGGATGAGAAGCAAAGTCATCTAAGATAAGAAGACATCTATGAGGGTAAGTCTTCCAATCGTAAGATTGCAATTTCTTCGAAATGTATTCTATCTCTTTCTGTTTGTTTCTGAAGTGGTGTTTGTCTAATATTCTCTGCATTTCCTCATTTGGGTCTTTAAACTTAGAATTTATATACTCATTTATAGCATTATACTTCAAAACTCTTCTTTGGTACTTCTTTATCCAATCTAACAACTCAGAGTCTTTTATACATACTAACTTAGACTTCTTTATAATATCTTTGAACGAATTTACGGTTTGGTCAAATTGACCAGAAGTACTACAAATAACAACTAACTCATAGAATGGGTTCTTCTCATCTAGTTCTTGTTGTTGTGCAGCCATTTTAAGATAAGTGAAAGTCTTACCCGACCCAGGTGGTGCAATTAGACCTGTTATACCATTCTGAGCAAATAAGAACTTGTCATGTATGGGTTTTATCTGAGCATTTTCTAACTTCCTCTTGTTCTTGTTTAAAACATTCTCAAATTTCTTGTCAATGTCAGCAAACTTTTTTTCTAACATATTTTTAGAAAAATTAAAATTTTTATCTTTTTGAAAATGTCTAGCGATTTCGCCATCTATATTCGAGACAAGCTTTTCGACAGCAAAACATCTGTCGACCATAAAATCTTACATAGTGTAAACAAGAAAGGTGAATTTGTTCTAAAGTTCTGTTTCTGGGAATATGACAAGAACCATAAAACATTAAGCAGAGCAGTCTTAAAATTTGTCAATGACAGACTTGTTGACAGAGATGACGCCGATTGGAAAGATGAAGTCCAACAAAAGTTCTTAGAATGCAAAGAAGACACATGCGCTGTTCTTGAAGATGAAATAGAAAACAGAATAGAAGAGCTATTAAAGGACAAAGAACTTTTACAAAAATATGGTTCTGAGAAGTTTGACATAACTCCACCAGAAAAGAAGAAGAGAGAAAAGAAAGAAAAGAAAGTAGAAGAAGAGAAGAAAGAACCTGAACCAGTTCCAGAGAAAAAGAAATTTGACATGTAAAAATAAAATTTTATTTTTAGAACATTTCTGGGTCAATGTCAATGTTCTCTTCCTCTTTAGGAGCAAACACTGGCTTAGACTCTAAAATCTTTTTACCCAATTTACCTTGAACTTCAACTATCTTAGACTCATAATATTCATAGTCGTCTGCTTTCTTTGGTTCATAAGGTATAACAAGTTTGTATGCTTTGCCTTCTTTAAGGTTTGAGAACCTTCTGTCAAAACTTTCTTTGACTGCTAACAAACCTTCTATGTCTAAGTCTTCAAATTTCGCACCATTTTTAGTCACAATAGCAAACTTAACTGGTTCGATGTTCCAAACTTTGCTGAATGAAGACTTTTCAAAATGGTAGAAGTAAACATTCAAATATGTGAATGGGTCTAGTTCTTCTTTAAGTCCTGACATGTACTTGTTTACTGAGATGAATTTTGTCATCTTTTCTATCGGATAAAAAAATATTTTTTTTTAAATTTACTCAGAAAAATTTTTCTTTGTATATACACCATTCTGTACGTCTAAAAGACTTTTGACATTTGCCAAGAATGTTCGTTTAGACGTTGTCATATAACCATATTCTTGACAATATTGTTTATACGAATCGTACAATGACCTTTCATCTAAACACTCAAAGTCAGTTTCATCTATGAACAGTTCATATACACTCTTGTTTGCTTCTAACAATGTTTGTCTCTCTTCGGTATGTGGAATTTGTCTTGGATTGAACTTAGAAATATCTAATGTCATGAAATATGAGAACAAGTGGTTGTAAAAGTCAGATGTCAAAGTTTCTGCTAAGTCGTCAAAATATTCTGTATCTTGCATATGAGAATCTGACGTTCTGACAACTACATATCTTCTGTCAGAACTTTCTAACTTCATCGGAACAGCATTGTTTGAAACCATAATGAAGTTTGCAACATTTTCACAAACTCTTTGGTCTTTATATTTTCTTTCAACAACTCCAACTTTGTCTGTTATAAGACTCTTCAAAGCATCTGAGTTCAAAACTTTTGTTGTATCTATACTTTGAAGTTCGTTACATACTATAAGTTTCATATTCTCTATTGAAGAGTTAAATTTACCGCAGATGTTTTCTATGTTTGTCATATTCGGGTTCGAATAGCCCTCTAACAGTTTGCACAAGATATCTGTAAAGAATGTGTTCTTACCAGTTCCTTGTTTTCCAATTATAATGAGAGCAGTTTCATTTTTAGCACTTGGATGTTGTAAGATGTTTGCAAACCAACATAAGATATACTCATAAACCTTTTCGTTTCCATTGCATATAATTTCTTTGACATGGTCTAACCAAGCTTCTATAACATTTTCTTTCCATTCTACTTGTTCGTATTTATATCCAGTGAAGATAGAATAGAAGTTTGGAGAAGGTGTATAAAACTTTATACCACGAACTGAAAAATCTTCTAACTTTGACAATAAGATATCCCAAGCATCTAACATCTTCATGCCAACTTGTACGACTTTTATTTTCTTAAGTTTCTGTTTACATTCTTGTTCTGAAACTATTGTCGCTTTAGGTTTGTTAAAGACTACATCCCATTCTTTCATAACATAACATTCTGGGGCAGAGTCGACATAAATGACTAAACGTTTCAAATTCTCGACTGCTTTGTTATAGTCTCGAAATGGACACATATTTCTGAACGTTTGGAAGTCATAAAAATCTGAAACATCTATTCTGTACATTTTTATAAAAATAAAAAAAATATTTTTTTTTATTCTTGAGCTATTTGTTGTATTTGTTGTTCTTGAGCTATTTGTTGTTGAAGTTGTTCTTGTAATACAATACTTTCACCAGTTGCATCTTCCAATTCGAAACTTTCTGCCGTCATTGACAAATACATAGGACATAAAAGTTTTACAGGAACAAAGTTTGCGTCAACTAAGGTTAAGTTTATATTTGCTAAAGTGTTTGAGTTTACTAAAGCTGAAAACTCTGCATTCGAATGAACAATAGGCAAACCAGCAGAGAAAGTATTGTTTATACGCATAAGTATCTTTTGGTCATAGTAGTTTCTGTCGACATTCGAATAGCACTTTGAACCTAAGTTTGAAACAATATATAAAATAGGTGTACTTAAAGTCAATGGAATAGACATTCCTTGTATGACACCTTTTCCTGTTATGGGAAACTGTTGGTAGTAAAAACCAGATATAAGTTTTGTATTATAGCTCATATTGTTTATAGTAAACTCAGTCGGACATCCAAACATAATGAAACCTGCTCTAGTTGCAGCACATGTTACACTCGTCCTTAAAGTATTAAATAAGTCAACAAAACCTGTTGGTGGTATATCTGAGTAAGTATCTTCAAAGGAGTATTTTTTACCATTCACAACAATAAAATCTTCTGGTGTCAAAAGAGCAAAACAAGCTTTAGTCGTCATTGTGTTTAAGGTTAGTTTACAATATCGTCCTTGAGGACTTTGTAAGTTTGTTGTTATAGAATTATATGACTCAGGGTTTTTAGTCGTAATAGTATAAACCACTATGTCTTCTGCCATTTACATATATTTAAAAGTTTTTCTGAAAGTGGAGAAGAACTTCATCTAAACTTTCACATGGCGTTTCTTGAAGTTCTCTGTCTAAGAAGTTCAAATATTTTGTAAAGACATAGAACTTTCCTTTGTCTACACGAACAAACAAAACAGGGTCTTTCATATCGTTCAAAAGTGTGTAAAGTCCTTTACATGAAATAAAGTCTATATTATTTTTCTTCAAACATCTTTCAAGAAGTTTTGACATTTTTACTTAGCAAATAAATTTTAATGAAATGTTGTGGTCGTCAAATATTTTTATGACGTCTGGGAAACTATATTTTAAGTTCAATGTTTCACCTCCTTTCATAACGTATATCTTGTCAATGACATTATATGAAACACCACAGCAACTAACGTCGGGTTCTATTTCTTTGATGTTTATATCGTCTGCCTCTGTCAAAAGTTTCAATAGTTCTTTCAAAACTTCATGAGGTGCGATGACATATGAGTTCACTTTTACAGGGTTGTGTTCGACCAAGTTTAACATTATACCTAAAGCTTGACAAATCTTCTCCTGAGTTTGAAGTTTGTCTTTCAGTTGTTGGTAGTCATTTCGAATATCTGCAACAGAACTTAAGTCTCTGCTAACTTCAGGATATGTTGGTTGTTCTTTTACAGGAACAATTGTTATACCATCTTCGTCTTCGTATGGTTTCCCCACTTCAACATCTCTTTCTTTGACATTGACAATAACACTTTGACTGTTTGTTTGAGTTGGTGAATTTAACTTCACATCTGCCACCGCCATTAAACCTTTTGAAACACTTACGCTTCTATTTTTCGGAAATGACATTTTACTTAGAATAAAAAGATGGACGTATTCGAGTATCTCTTCGAATTGAAGCAGAACAAAGTTTACACACACAAACAATACAAATACATTGACAGAATAGTTCTTTATACAAACAATGGTAAATGTTATAGAATAGCAGTCTTTGCTGAACCAAAATATTTTCATAAAGCAAAGAAAGTTGGTATAACTGAAATGGTGAAAGTTCTTGAAGCAGACAAAAATATAACTTCAAAACTTACAGATATTTCTAAAGGAAAGTTTATAATACAATATTATGTCAAAACTGGCGTACTGTCAATATTTGACGGAGAGAAGTCAGTTCAAGAACAACTTACTGACCTGCTGCCAAAATCTGCTCGATGGAAGCTGTCGTTATGCCAATCTGAGGAGCCCCAGCAGGTTTCATCGAACGAATCTTCAAAAGAGCATCTTCCGTGAAAAGTGCTATTGGTTTTGTAAACTTCTTTGCTCTCAGTTCATCTGGACCGTCTCTGTCACCAGTATATTGTATTTGTACAGTACCAACAGTTGAAATACCACCCATAAAGTCTTCTGAGTCAGCAAATGGAATGCCAAGCCAAAAGTTTGAACGGTCTCCATTTGTATATTGAGTTTTTTGACTTCCTGTATGGTCCATACTTTCACATATGGCATAATAGAACTTTGCATTTCAGGGTTAATGGTTGTTGTGAAGTTGTTGTTAAAGTTCATAGCATCTAATGTCAAGTTGTATGACCTCATATCCTCAACTGTAGAATATTCTTCTCTTGGATAATATTTGCCATCTATGTTTATATGATATTTAATACCGGGGTTGTAGAAACAAGAATAGTCATTTATAGTTCGTCTGAACAGTACAAACATAGTATCTGCATGTTTCATTGCAGTTGTTAAAGCAATATCTGTTCTTGCACCTGCGGTTCTGGATTTTGGTTTCCAACTTCACCTGCAAAGTCTTTGACAGATATTTGGTGTATAGGGAACATAAGTGGAACTGCAATATATTTGGCAGCTAAAGCATTTGAAATATCTGGGTCCAACATATAGACTGCAAGTCTGCTTTCTATTCTCTTGCATTCAAACTGTTTGCATGTGAACTTAACTGGGTCCCAAGCAGTTCCAGCAGCATTGAAATAATACTTTACTTCAGTGTTGAGGTTTGAGAAACCAAAGTCTAAGTCAACTTTGTCTTTGCAAAATTCGGCGAATGACGTTTGATTTGCTCCCTTTACGTCTGTAAGAGTGAATGGGTCTTGCGTTGGTGCAATGACTAAGTTATTTTTGCTTGGAGTAAGTTCAATAGAAATTTTTCCTGCCCAGTTTGGCAAGTATCTTAAAAACCTGAAGATGAGGAAAGATGACAAAGGAACTCTAAGTTTCAGTTTTACTTTAGTGACAGCATTTCCATCTGAACCAGAAAGGTTAACATAAACTCCTGGAACGTTAGGGTCAAGTCTTCTTATTTTCTCAATAGTTGCATACTGGTCTGTTTGTTCTCTAGCTTGTGGTTGTACTGAGTTTCTCAAAGCGAACCATTCATAGTTTGCCCAGGTTACTGTTTGAACTAAGTCAGAGTTAGAATATATCTTATATCCCATGAAAACTTCTGGAGCATATTGGTATCCGACATAGAAAATTCCATTGCAACCTTTCTTACCTCTCAAGTCAGCAGAAGGTTTTATTTCAATGTCTTGTTCCACGTATAAGAATGAGTTGTCAATAGAAATTATATGAAACCTGTCGCAAGCAATATCTACTGTTGTTGAAGAACCTTCTCCAAACTCACCTACGTTTCCATAAGAAACAGCAGTTGTATATTCGTAAGTTCCAGGAACTATTTCTGACCTTCTAATGGCATTGTCGCATTCGTTATACCATTCGGAAACGTTTCCATTCATGGCATCCAAAACTGTTGGCGTTATATTCTGAGCGGCGTACATTTCATATGGGTAAAAATATAGAATAGTTGGATTTATTTGTCATAATAGAACCCACGTGGACCAAGCTTTACTTTCTTCCTGACTGAGTTTTTAACTCTTCTTTTTCCTTCATTGCCACTACTTTCACTAGATGAAGTTACTTCTTCACTACTTTCACTTTGTTCTACTCTTCTCTTCTTCTTTGGTAACTTGCCCTCTGCTTCAAGTTGTTGCATCTTTGCCTCATGTTCACCTAGTATGTTGTAAATTTCCCATGTCCTTTTTGCCTTTGGGCTCTGGTCGCCCATCTCAGGTAACCAATATCCTAGAAAGAGTTTGTCATAGTTTGTATTTGAGTCTTCACGTATTGTTTGCATGACTCTTTCCTGAGTTTCCGGTTCAAGCTCTTCAAACAGAGCTTGTCCATATGGAATATGCTCGTTTCCAAATATATGTTTTTGTAGCCAATCTGGTTTTCTTTCCATGTTACCAACAATATCTTTTGTGAATGGAAAAGCTTTTACCCAATGTTTCAGTCTTGCGTCATTTATTTCTGTAGTTGGTTTTATTTTGTCAAGGAACATGTTTTTCAATACTAACATTTCATTTGGTACTGTCCATTTGAGTTTTCTTAAATATTCATCCCTTCTCAGTTCATTGTCTGCAAAGTAAGTTTTTATGACATTTTGCAAACTTTCGTTTGCAAGGTCATGTACAATAGGTTCTCTTCCTTCGCTCTCCCTAACTTTCTTTCTAAACTCTTCACCAAATATACCATCTCTATGGTTCTGTGTAGTTCTTTGAGATAAATGTTCTAGAACGTCAGGTGTTATATTTCCATCAGCCATGTTCATTTCATACTGGTCCAAAATATCTGCATGTTTCATATCTTTCAATGGCATTAAAGCCGCGCTGAAAATACCAGCTATATCTGGTTCACCATTGACTTCCATTGCGTCTACAACTTCTTGGAATTGTGGTTGTAAGTTTATGAACCACCTATCCGGGTTAGCTTTATGACCCCATCTCATTGTAGTTCCATAGTCTGCAGAAACAAAAGTAGGTTTGTTTCCATATTGGTTAGGTTCTGAATGAACTTTAAACAATGTTTCATTTCTATATGTTTTGTTGAAATTTAACCTTTTATTTTCACCGAGTTCAGCCAAAGATTGAACGTTATATGGTCGTAAGTAAAAAGGGTTGTTGTATTTGTGTACATTTTCTTTCAGTACTTCCATTCTATGCTGAATATTTTCATCTGGTGTTGGAGTCTTTTGTATGTCGGCAAACATTTTTCGATATTCTTCTACCATGTCAGCCAAATTTTTTTTAGACTCTTGGAAAGATTCCATATTCACCTCATACTCTTGTTGAGGGTCAAGATTTTTCGGCTGTTCCAAATCTTCATCTAGTTCTGTGAAGTTAGTTTCCAAA